AATTAATTTATAATATTATATAATATATTTATTATATTAAAATAATCAAATTAATAATTTCAATATATAAATTTAATAAAATTAACATTTATTTAAAAAAAATATAATAAATTATCAATATATATTAAATAAATACAATTAAATCCGAATAACGAGTTCTGAAAAGGACATATTATAGCCTATAGCCATTTAAAAAAATGCGTAGATATCCGGCCGCATGCACCAGCCGGTAGCTATGTAGAATAAAGCCTTACCTTTAGCGACTCGGCTCTTATATTTTTAAATGCAAGAGTTGAATCATTAGTCAGAATCTTTTGTCTGCATTGATTTTTAATCGTCAATATTTGCAGCAATATTTCTCCTCCTGAAACAGAGGGAATTCCATGCAAGCTAAGGTATCTACAAGCTGATTCAAACTTAGATGGTTCTATGGATTGTTTTCGAGTCCCATGGCTGCTTTTGGACAAAATCATTCATACGTGGTGAGGAGCTCCAGATAACACTGATCATGATTCCCAGCAAAATGCATGCCTTTGAAACGCAGGGTCCGCTCGGCAACTTACATGTTGCTCCAAACAAACTTTGGTCAGGAGCAACTGGTTCTTCTCTCCGGGGCTGGTGTTCAGCACCGCCAGAGCGGGTAAAGCAGTGCCAAGCGATAATGACAGATGCAAAATCATCATATCATTGATATTAGTTGTGCCAAACATAGAAACTGCACCATCATAATTTCAGGTCTGACTTTCCGTTATCAAGTTCCACATAAGGATAGCACTTCTGTCGTTCAGTGCGATGTTCAGTGAGGGCGTAACGCAGCGAACAGCTTTGGCACTTGACAACAGCGAACAGCATTGGCCAAGGGACTTACACCGAAGTCACCTTTTCACTGAGATCTGACATACCAGTCCTGTAAGGAATCCTGAAGTATCAAGATGTGCCAAGGCGTACAGGTTTTCTCAAGTGGTTTCGATGTTTTTTCATTGATCACTGCATTGGTGGAAACAGCATTGCGCAGCCAAGGTACGGGATTGGATTCGCCAGGTTGCCCATGAAATCACCTGCCCAGGTCGCCCGGATCCCAGAATTTTGGGCCGCTTACAGGATGGAAATTGTCAATCCAATCCGAAGAGGGCGTTGGAATATGTTGGAATACATTGACTATCTGGGGTCCATGATTTTGATCACCCACTTCTCCTAGTCCCACAATTGTCTCACCGTTCGAAACCTGAAAACGCTGGCAGTTTGACACATGAATCAATGTTTCAGTGTGAATAGAAAACCATGTCCAAACAAGACAAGACTCAGCTAAACATGACTTTGCTTGCTTAACCTGTCCAAACAACATCTTACCTTGTGTCACAATGGGTGTTTCTGAAAATTGGGATAGCCCAAATCCTTGGTTTCCCATGGTTTCCTGAACTGATCACTACAGTAATCCTGGTTGATTTATGATGATCCTGGGGTCCCCCATGAAGGAACTCCCGTGGCGCCTTGAGGATAGAACATGTCGTTCGTGAACTGCTGACTGACTCCACGTGGCGCAGGATGCCACACCTTTGTTGAGCCTGGAGCCATGGCTGGAGGTATCCATGTCCGTGACATATCGATTCGACTTATACGAGTTCTTCTCCTTATAAGGCCAGAGGTAAATTGTTATATACATTTATATACATTATATATCATCTTACGTCTTAGTCTTCCCATATGGTATCGATTTTCCCACTAACGAATGAGCGGGATATCTATGGATGCTTTTCTGATTCAACATGATTTTGGCAAGGTAAAATATGGTTTTCACAACTTCATCCCATAGGATTCCTAAAATTGATAGTCCTCAAAATACTGGGCTTCCATAGTATATCCCCATAGTATAGTCCCAATATTGATGATAGTAGGATTCCCATAGTATAATCCCCTATATTCACCAGGGCTTACAGCACCAGGTGGCATCCCCGCCTTGTGGCACTTGTAATGCACCCAGCGGTGACCGGCTACACATGTGCAAGGGCGCCGAAGGGCACACCGGAGCGCAGGGACGCGGTGTTTCAGGTGGCGTCCACCTCAGGTCAACTTCGAGTCGTGGTAACCGGTTGAAGGGAGCATCTTCACCAAAAACCACGGTTTTCCCCATGAAATATATTATATAATATGTATAATTATATAATATTAGATACATGTATATACATATATATATATTTATATTTATATTTATATATTTATGTAGACATTGTGGTGTCCTGAGTTGTTTCCTGCAAATTTTCCCTTGAACCAATGGAATGCATGAAGGAGACCTTGAATTTCCCATGGAATTCTGGTGAACTTCACTGGGAATTTGGGGATAATCATGGGATGTGTGTAATCTTTGTTAGTCTTCATTCATTGTCATCATTGTTAGATATTGTTAGGATGTCATTGTTAGGATGATTATAATCAACAATAATTAAGATTAGTCTTGCCAACAATAATTAACAGTGCTTAGTCTTGATGGTACACTGGTGCTTAGTGACTTGGTGTTAAGTGAGCTGCTGACGATGACCATCGTGATGATATTGGCGGAATCGGACCCACGGGATCCTTTGGTTCATCCAGCCACTGAAATGGGTATGGGTCAAAATGTGGGTACAAAATCAGTGTTTTGGTATTTAACAATTTAACACAATTTAACAACATTCATAAACTATCCATTTCTTTGCGGGCATGCAAATTTTGACCCCTACACAAATGGTCACTGCTTAAGCTTCAGGCTCACTTGCGCCATGAAAGGTGGCCACGGGTGAAGGACCTGAATCATTGCAGGCAAATTGCAGGTCACCGGCCTGATAAACATCAGCTTACCCAAGGATATCTCTGATATCGAAGGTTCATCAAAATTTCAACCGTGGAAACTTCAACTGGGCTGGCTCGAGGTGTGCATTCTCCACGCTCGACACTCACGCGGAAATCCCCAACCGCTCCAGCACTGGGGCCTGGTGGGCTGCCTGCCTGTGTGCCGCGATTCACCGTCTGCAGAAACCTCCCAGCAGATTGGGTGCTTGGCCAATCTTGGGGACATCGGGTCCAAACGGTCTTCGATGGACTTAAGTCAGCAAACACCAACCATGCAGCCAGTTGAAAGATCGAACCTCAGAAATGGGGAAACGGACACAATGGATGGTCTGATGCAGTTTCACCAACCAAAAGGCAGATTTCAGCAACAAAAAATAGCGCATGTCAGTTTCCTCCACAGGCCTGGTTGCCGACATTGGACTTACCCCGGCTGAGACAGTGGACTGGCATCGAATTGGAGCCATGACAGGCACGGCTTGGGCAGTTGGACCTACGGGGCTTGGTGGTGCCATGGGTGCTGTAGCTGGCCCAGAGGGCTTTGGGGCCACCAGTGGCGCCGGTGGTGCCAGTGATGTGTTGGAAGGAGGTGGCATGTCTCGGCCATGAAGCTTGGGAGGGGGTGGTGGTGGTGGGGGGGCGCTGCCATAGAGAGGATTGGATGCCTCGGTTGCATGACGCTTTTTGGATCGACCAAATAGACCAGCAAGAGTTTGGGGCAATTTGGCATAATGATCTGAACCCCACTTGTTCACTGCAAGTTCCTTTCACATGAGTTCATTCCATTGTTCCAAACAAAAATCATCAACTCCGAACTGAGAACTCGACTCCATTCAGCAGGTCTTGAAGGTTGGGTGACCGTTGAGAGAACGTTGGGAAAGCTGGGAGATCCTCGTGGTCCCAGCGTGGCAAATGCCCATAGCCGCCATAGCCGCCACAGCCGCCATAACCGGTGCCAGGTGACGACAAACCTGCTCTCAACGGTTGATAAATCAAATGGGTTGGCCTAAAGCTGGGAGTACCCAATTTTCTGGCCCTTCCAATAGAAAACATGATGATCAACGATCAATTTTTTTGGAACATTTTGGAACCTATTTTCAGCCAAACCCAAATCCTGCCAACCCACTGAATCCACTCAGTATTTCCACAGCTTTGGAAATGGGTCCTACAGCCTACGGGGCGAGATGGGGGAACATCCAGCTGATCAGCGAAAAATTGGTGTGAAACCTACGGATTTCAAAATGAAATCACACAGGCCCATTTGGGGATAGCATATCATACTTCTTGCTGGTTAAACAATCCTCATATTTGTTGGTTGTGTGCACCCTTTTTTAGTGGATAACTCCTATTTCCATACATGGGAACGGGTGATTCCATCTGCTGCCATCCAATCTCCAGTTGGTATGGCTGAAAATGCGGTACCAACAGACCAACAAATGGGTGGTCATGCTTTGTATTCAATGTATTCATCATCCATGCTGGGGGGGTGAATGATTTTGACCCGTGCCCAACAAGTTAGGGCACAATCAAAATTACACCGTTTTCGGACAAACCCATTTCCAGTGTGGCTAACTCTCCATTTTGGCTGCTTCAAATCATCATTGTGACTGGCTAAATTCCAATCTTTGATGGTTGAAATCATCGTGACTGGCAAAAGCCTATGTTTGATGCTTAGATCACCATTTTGGCTTTTGACATCCCTTCTGGCTGACTAAATCACCGGTTTTGGCTGGTTTGGCATGGCAAATCCACATTCTTAGGATCATCACTATCCCAAATAAAACCAATGATCTACCGGACGATCTATCCCCCGATTTCGGGAAATTCCCAAGTCGTTTCTTCTCACCTCGCCCCATGAAGGAGGGCATCATGGAGGCGGACGAGCCCAGCAATCGCCGCGCTTCGGCCTGGATCAGGGTCACTGGAAGTAACCCTGGTGATTCAGAAGTCGTAAGTCCCCGATAAGAATGGGTTAACTTTCCCATATACATATATACATATATATATATGCACATACATGTACATAATTATGTGTATATTATATAATACATACAATATATATATATGTACACAAATACACATGTGTATATACATATAGATATGTATATTATATATCCATGTATAATATATATATGTATGTGGGTTATGACTATGGTTGCTGATGGATGTATCCTGGGATTTGAACCCCCAAGTTTAACTATGTATCGGATATGGGGTCCCCACAACTATGGTGAAATATATCAAAGTATTAACTGGAACCTCAGCCCGAAGTATATGCGAATAATGTGCAGTTATATGTGACGATGCGTGTTTGTGTATATCAATAAGTATCTAGCATCAAATGTCCCCTGCAGATGTGATATGGTCTGAATTGATGAGATTCTATTTGATATTATGATTCTGATGATATGATACCAAACCAAAAAACTCCAAAGCTTGAGGCCTCCACATCTATTGACATGGAACAACTTGAACCATTAGGGTCTTCATTCATAGCTTGTGACCACCCCAGAGCTCGCAATCGATCTAGCAACCACTGTCACAAAGCTTTACGTGTGCCACAGGTTTGTCAATGGGGAATGGGCACCCGAAATCCCATGATTTATCACCATGTTTCCCCATCAATATGGCAATTTGGGCATATCTTCCCCAAATGTTTATCCATTTTTGGAGATACCCATAGCACCAATTGACTACTCGCCAGGTTCGAACCTCATTTCTTCTCCATCAGACTATCCCAGCCATTCCAACCTCCACCATCCTAGCCATTCCCAGCGCCCAAGCGCCACCTTGAAGTGATAATAGCGCTGGGACTCCTTCATCAGTTCTTGAGCCTGGATCGCTGGATACCCATGGCATCCCATGGCTCATGACCAAGCGTGGCTAACCCCGTGAAAATATGGAAAGTCGTGGAAAATCGTGGGTTAATGCATGTTAAAGCTATGCAACGTTCTGCAACCATGTTTATTCATGGTCCCCTTTGGGTCAAGAACTTTGATCCCACCGCCATCTTGAAGGATAGCTAGAGATATGAAAACAGCCGCCTCTGGTCCCGTAGAACCCCACGTCAGAAGTCGTCTTGAAATAAGGCCCGTTCCATCCCACGGTTGATCATCACTTGCCCCATGATTTAATTGCCAGAAATTGGACAGAAGTCACTCATTTTGACGCAAACCCCCGCAATGTCTTCTTTCATGACTTTCCAATCGTTTGCTTGGAAATCCCCAAATTATGGATGCCGCAAATCCATGAACATCCAATATTCATCCAGCTATGCTTTACAATTGATCCAACCCGACATCAGAGGTTGAAGGAAACAGCGATGCGCGGGGTACCTCTTTTTCCAAACGCTGATGTTGGCGATCGGCTTCTTCTTGTAGGACAGCCATCCTTGTCAGCAAGTTGTGGACCGCTAAACCTATTGGAGTTTGGCAAACATTGAGAAGTTTGGGGCTTGACATCTACAAATTGGAAATTTGACTTTCGTAAAATTCGGCAACCACAATCCCAGCTGACCTGTCACTAAATCTCTCCACCACAACGCGCGCTTGTTCCAAGAGCTCATTCTCAACCTTGCAAGTCCAGCATGTCTTGTTGCTGCGTGTCAAATTCATTAGCTGCGTTGCATGATCGACTTGCTTTTGCTGGATTTACAGGAAACCCTACTTGTTACCACAAAAATATGAGGGATTTTGAATCTTTTCCCTGAAACCCAACCACAAATCGTATCCAAATCCCCTGGATCTTTGAACCATCCTAAAAGTGGACGGAAGTCTGGTCCCCCGGCCAAATATGGGAAGTTCAACTGGAAAACAACTGGAAAACTCACATATTGCGCATCTTGGCTGGTCAATTTCCAAGCGTTTCCTGTGGATTTGTCCCTTCGAACCCAGTTTTTCCCATCGCTTCCTGTCTGACCGGTGCCTCTGCGTTGTATTGCTCCCGAAGTCGGCGAGCTTCTTCCCGCAGGCGATGCTTCTTCTCCGCGTTCGCCTGTTCCAATTTCCTGGAGTTGGAAACATCTGGTTGTGACAGTTGAGAACAGTTGGTTGTTGGTTGTGACTGATGTTAGATACCTGTGATATGCTTTCCCTTGCTGGAAAATGAATGACAGGAAGGATGAGCGAAGCATTGTTTCCATCGGATGAATTTCTGTTGTCAGAACAGCTGTGGACCAGAATGTGGAGGACCATAAGGGTCTTACAGAATTTCGCAAACGCCAAATGATCTAGGAACAAGTGCGTCTATCCAGAATCTATGGTTTTTTCTTTAGTTATCCATTAAATCAAACCGGGTGGTTTTTTTTTCCCCACTACACCAACCAATCAGCCATCATCAATTGGTAAGCCCATCGGCCAACGTCCCATGGGTCCCATGGCTCCTGGTGGCATCTTGCAGCTGTCGGTCCAACTCACGATTGTAGCTGTCTCGGCATCTCTCCACGGTCTCCGGATCCGCCAAACCTGAGGGGCGAAGCATGGGAGTTCCCGGGTTGGTGGGGATAATGGGATGAACCAATCGGAAGTCCCCCCAATTGGTGGCTCCAAAGGGAGATGTCCATTATGGATTATGATACTGCTCCATTGGAATGCATTTCTTGCGAATCTTTTCATGCAACTTGGAATTTTTGAGTGATGACCAGGTAAAAGAGAAGATGGATGAAGGCTGTGCTGAATAGCAATAGGCTCAATAGGCCTCCTTGGTGATTGGACACTCTTGCAAGAAATGCCATAGTTGCTTTCAGACTGGTGCGATACAGTATGCACACTTGCATGCTTGCCTTGACACAACGGGTTGAAGCAGTGACTGCTCATGCTTCCAGAGCATGTACAAATGTGCATTTCACCAACTAGTACAACACACACACGCACAAATACATTTAATACATTTAAAAGGCCCGCTACATCAAACTGCATAGCATCACAATGCATGTCACTATCCTGTCTCATACATCGCAGAGTGTATTAGCTTTCATTGATATTTACATATATTTACATGGTATTTATTCAGATACGGGGCCATGATTCCACTGAATGCCTTACATGTAATGATGCAAAACTCAGAAAAGACAATGGACCTGTCCCCTCATCGGAGCCTTATCGCATGCAAGCACAGAAATGAATTTATTAAATGGATACATCATCAAACTACCAAACGTGATACTCATGCGTGGAACCCTGGTGAACATCAAAATCAAAATAGACGGGATCTATGGATGTTTATCACCCCCAAAAGGGTAGGTTTTGACTCACCCCCCTCGCCTGCCGTCAGTGATCCGGGTTCACACGGCGGGGTAGGAATCTCCTCACACAATGTCAACAAGATCAGTTGTTTGGCCATCTGATGGGGCCCAACACAACCCACGTAGCAACACGTTGGAATAGGCGAAGGTGACAATTCTGCAGGGCACGGAACTGGTAACTCCAAAATAGGCAAAACCACAACAGGAAAACCATCGAAACAAAAAACTAGAGGACTTTCTGAAATGGATGATACAATTTCGACCATTTCATTGTAAAAAAAATGACAAAAACCTGATGCTCTGCTAAACGTCTTTGCTTATCCTGGGACACCCCCCTGCGCTCCTTTGATAGATCGGTGTCTGGAGTCACCAGTGGCAAAGGCGAGAGCCCAACCTTGATAAATGTGGAAAATGTAGACTAATGGTTGATGGCTTCAAGCACCTATTTGATTGGTTAATATACGTATATATATATAATGTATAAATATATACTCATAATATGATATTCATACAATATGTTGTATGAAATGTAAAAACATATACATACGATATGATTAAAGGGCGGAAAATAAACACATCTGGGAATCACAAACCACCAATCTCACATGATGGTGACAACAAGAGACCAACATTTTGTTCCTGTACATAAGCTGATTATTGTCGCGAATGGATGGTGATCAGTGTTGCAAGAGGGCACCCTACAGTTTGGTGTTGTGAAGACGTTTGCGGTGCCCTCATAGACAATATATTCTTTGCAGTTCTTTGCAATTTCCTGGCTCCCTGTGAACGTCAACATGGCTGGTAAATTGATGTTATATAATCCAAAAGAATGGCCCCAGAGGTACTGACACATCCCATCCCCAAATCTCCGGTGCAAGTCAAACCCCCAGCTAAATACTTCATAGACTTCCTCACTTTCACCATCAACGGGCATCTGCAATGCGCTCACGACCTTCATGATCGACTCTACCAATTAAAAATACGATCGTAAATACACTGAGGGAGGCTAATCTCGCCCTGAAATGTAATTATGTAGACATTTTAACCAACTAATTCGGTGAATCTGGGCTTTAAATATCATGTGTTCACCATTATGAAGCCAGTCATACCCGCAGGTGCCCTGTCCCTGTGCCTTCTCAAGGTCCACATCGAAGAAGGTACTTGGACCCGTCAGCATGGTGGAGGGCGGTGGCAGTGCCTCTGAATACTCTGGCAACTTGCCCATGGCCTTCACACGGGACGTTGGTGTGACCACATGGAACTTGCCACAGAAAAATGGAAAAATGGCATCAGAAAAAGGATCCAGATATCTCTATATCTATCTATATCTATCTATCTATCTATCTATCTCTCTCTCTCTCTATGTATGTATGTATGTATGTATGGTATTGTATTGTATTGTATTGTATTGTATTGTAATTGTAATTGTAATTGTAATTGTAATTGTAATTGTAATTGTAATTGTATGTATGTATGTATGTATGTCTATATGTGTATATATATATATACATATATACATACCTATATATATATATCCATATATAGTGCCTGCAGATGACATGGGAGTAGTCGGACATACGCAAAAAACGCAAACTCCCATGTCATCTGCAAAGTGAAAACAAACTAAAAAATGCATAACGCCCGTGTCATCTGTAAAGTGCCTGGGAAAAATATTACATGACATAGGACCTCTCACCTCTCCAATGACATAGGACCTCTGCAATTGTTTGGGCTCTCCAAAATGCACAACATGTCACCTGCAAACCCCACGTTGGACCACACCCAAATAACACTCCCAAACAATATCATATACTTGCCACCAGAGGATGAATGAAAACACTGGCTATATGCAGCGATTTTGATATATTTTGACTTTAGGTTTTTAGGATTTAGGGTTTTAATTCAGGGTTTAAGCTTTTTGGGTTTTAGGTTTTG